CTTGGGACTGGATCTTTGAATGCCTCTCTAGGTTTGGAAAATTTTCTTGCAGGATTTCATGGAATAGATTATCTATGCCCTTATGGGTCTCTTCACCTTCTGGAATGCCAATTATCCAGAAGTTTGGACATTTGATGGTATCTAGTACTTCTCATATATTATTTTTAAATTTTGGGGCCATTTTCTCAGCCTTTGTGGTAGATTTTTTTAGGCTAACAATTTTCTCTTCTAAATCTGAGATTCTATTTTCTGTATGATCTACTCTGCTTTTCATACATTCAGGGGAGATCTTGACTTCCAGTATTATAGACTTCATCTCTAACAGTTTTGTTTGATTCTTTTGTAAAGTGTGTAATTCCTCTTTTAGATCTTGCAAGAATATCCTCACCTCCTGGAACTCGCCAACTTCTTTCTCCTTTCTCTTTAGCAGTTCCTTGTCTCTCTTCTCTTCCATCTCTGTTAGCTTTGCCATTATGAATGTTCTAAATTTTTTATCAAACATTTCCATGATTTCCATTGAACTGTTTATGGATGAAGAGGACTTATTCTTTTCCCTTGGAGGAGAGGTATTTTCTTGCTTTCCTATATTTCTTGTGGTCCTGCGGTGATTTCTTGTCATCTGATGGATAGTGTGTTTCTTTCAAATTCTTGAAGTTCAATCTAGTTGGCAGGGGCCATGAGGAACCTTCTTCTGAAGACTCGCCTCTCCTGCCTCCATGGACACTGTGTCCGACAGAGCATGGTCAGCACAGCAGCAGGTTCTCCCCAGCGACCATGCAGAAGGAACTGCCCAGAGTTGTTTTTTAATGAATATAACAATACAGTTATTGGGCCAGCTGATGGTGTGGTGGTTAAGGTGGCTAGATTGCAGATGGTTGATGGCCAGTTAAAGTCCCAGACCTAGCAACTTGAAAAAAATACCAGGCATGTGTGTATGCACTCCCAACATCCTAAGAGAAGAGAGAATTGTGGAATGACCATTCCCTGTGTGGGGTGATTTCTCACCTTCCCTTTCTCTGTGTCTTTGTGTCCAGTGAGTGCATGTGCACAATAGCAAAATTAAAATTAAAACAAAAAAAGAGCAAATAAAATTCTATTGTAACATTACATTTTACTCCATAAATATGTATTATTATTTTTTGTCAAGAAATAAATAAGTTAAAAATTCTGCAGAATACATGATCTATGGGAATAAAGAATTGAGATAAGTCCTAAGCAGAGAAGGTACTACAAAAGCCTAAAGCAGATTAGATCCATACAAAAATATAATTTGTAAGTACACAATACGAACTATGGCATTTCAACTATGAGAATAATACCTGTTCATGTGAAATTAGCCATTGTATTTTCCTCTTTTCAGGGAGTCACCATGAAACCAGGAAATGATACACACATTTCAGAATTTCTTCTTCTGGGACTTTCAGAGAAACCAGAATTGCAGCCCCTCATATTTGGGCTTTTCCTCTCCATGTACCTGATCACTGTGTGTGGAAACCTGCTCATCATCCTGGCCACCATCTCAGACTCCCACCTGCACACCCCCATGTACTTCTTCCTCTCCAACCTGTCCTTTGCTGACATCTGTGTCACCTCCACCAACATCCCAAAGATGCTGGTGAACATCCAGACACAGAGCAAGGTCATCACCTATGCAGGCTGCATCACCCAGGTGTTCTTTTACATAGTTTTCCTAGTGTTGGATGACTTCCTCCTGACTGTGATGGCCTATGACCGGTATGTGGCCATCTGTCACCCCCTGCATTACACGGTCATCATGAATCCCTGGCTCTGTGGAATGCTGGTTCTGGCATCTTGGATTATAGGTGTCCCGTATTCCTTGTTACAAACCTTAATGGCATTGCGGCTGTCTTTCTGTACACATGTGGAAATACCCCACTTTTTCTGTGAACTTTATCAGATGATCCACCTTGCCTGCTCTGACACCTTTCTTAATGCTATGGTGACCTATTTTGCAACTGTGCTGCTGGGCATCGGCCCCCTCACTGGGATCCTTTACTCGTACTCTAAGATAATTTCCTCCATTTGTGCAATCTCATCAGCTCAGGGAAAGTACAAAGCATTTTCCACCTGTGCCTCTCACCTCTCTGTTGTCTCCTTATTTTATTGTACGAGTCTAGGAGTGTATCTTAGTGCTGGTGCTGCCCGCAGCTCCCCCTCAAGTGCAGCAGCTTCAGTGATGTACACTGTGGTCACCCCCATGCTGAACCCCTTCATCTACAGTCTGAGGAATAAAGACATAAAGAGGGCTCTGAAAAGATTATCTGGGAGAATGGTATAACAGGACCAATTTTTCTGGAATCAAATAAGCTGTCCTGATTATAAACCTCAATGCCTCAGAGCTAATTTCTTGATTCTTGATCGGATTTGGGAGTAGAACTTAGTCCTTCTATGAGTGCTGGGAGTTTCCATTCTTCTGATTTCAGTTTCTCTGTATTGTATGTATACATATTCTTCTTTTTTTTTTCAAGAGGTTTTTTTTTTTTTTTTTTTTTTTGCTATAAGTTGTGTGTGCTCATCACAAAGACAAAGACAGAGAGAAAGAAAGTGAGAAATCAACCCCCGGGGGGATGGCCACGCCACAACCCCTTCGCCTCCATTCTCCTCTTGGAATCTTGGGCATGCACACATACTTGCATGCCCAATGTGAATTTAGGCCACTGGTTCTGGGACTTGAACCACGGTTGACTACATGGGAGTCCAGCAACACAGCCATTACACCAACTGCTGGTCCCTCTATGAATATTTTTAGAAAGCCATTAAATTAAGATTTCTGCTCTCTCTGATATCCAAAAGCTTTCTCTTTGTCATTTTTACCACTTTCTCTAAGTCATTTCCACACTGTCATCAAAATTATTTGTAAATTATCAGTCATCTTATTGTACAATGTAGGCTTCATAGGAGCTATTCTGCAGTGTCTTAGATATTATTTATTTTGTTTTACTGAAGCTGTAGTACTGAATTGTACTCCTTTCTGGGAAATAAAAAAGAAGAACTGTGCTTAGATAGCAAAAACATTTTAATCCTTCATGGGAGGAATATATTTGAGACTACAGGTTTTCACGTTTGGGTCCATCATTCCATCGTATCTGAGGATCTCAACTGCTCATGGTGATAACGAGGACTTTGGCATCCAGTGTATTTTATAACTGTCCAAAAGATTTCTTTTTAATTTTATTTTTAAAGCAAAAATTACAGATTTTTAAAAAACAGACCTTTCCAGATATTTGTCTGTTAAACGTTCCTTCTCTTTTCTCTTTCAACTCACTTTCATCCACCCACTGCCCTCACTTACAGTCTCTGCTGTCTACACTTAACCTCTCTACTATCATATTTTTGAATCTTTTCTTTTCTGCCATAGAGTGCAGACATTTAGGACACACTGAGTGGGGATATGCAGTGTGTCTCTTTCAAAGTTTAGCTTACTTTGCTTAATATTAAGTCCTCTATATTCAACTACTTTGAATCAAATAATTGGGATGTCATGGCTTCTTATGGCTGAGTAATATTCCATAGTATATTTGTGCCACTATTTTTCAACCCAGACATCAGTTTTTGGAGACCTAGGTTGATTCCATGTCTTAACAATTGTGAATAATGCAACAATAAACATGAATGTGTAATTATCTTTCCATCTGAGTGTTTTCCTGTCCTTTGAGTAAATACCAAGGAATGTGACTACTGGGTTACATGGTAGTTCTATTTGTATTGTTTGAGGAATCAATACATAGTTTTACACAGAGTTTGTACAAATGTACATTTCCAGCAATAATGTAAAAGTGTTCTCTTTTCATCACGGCCTTGCCAGCCCTTGATTTCTTTATTTTCTTGATCCTAGAAATTCTAACGGGTTAAATGGTATCCAATTATTGTTTTAATTTGCAACTTCTTTATGAAAAGAGATTTTGAACATTTTTTCATATGTCTTTTAACCATTCTGGAATCTTTTCCTATTAAAAATATTTATTTAATTTTATTTATTGTTATTCTTCAATATAACCAGAGACAGAGAGACAGAGAGAGGAAGAGTGAGAAAGCAAACTGCCTGGTCTGGAACTCTAGCTGCTGTGGGCCACATGGGATTCTAGTGGCTTTACCACCCTGTGAGCTGCTCACCCTGATTTGCCCATTTTTTTCTTTTTTATTAAATATATTTTAAATTTTGATTTCTTTTATACATTTATTCACATTTGTCACTTAGCTTACAAAGTGAATATTTCAACATGTGTACATTTCTCACCAGTCCAATTGAGAATACTATACACATTATCTTCAACAGATAATAACCCATTTCTTTGTCCCATAAATGCCTTACCTCTCTATTTTTCTCCTTAATGTCTTTTCTCAGACTTTCCTCCTTCACCTGATTTGCCTATTTTTAATTAGATTATTCTTTTTTTAATATGGTGACCTGATTGAGTTTCTTATATTTTTTATCAATCCCTTTCCTGAGAAATAACATTCAAATAGTTTGTCCCATTCTGAGAGTTGTCTTTTCACTATAATCATTGTTTTCTTGCTGTGAAGAAGCTTTTTAGCTTGATATAATCCCACTTGTATATTTTTGGGATTAAGCCTGTCTTTAAGAGGTCTTATTTAATAAAACTTTGTTCACTCCAACATCTTATAAGAATTTTCTATGAGTAGTTTCATAGTTTGGCTTTATATTTAAAACTTTGCTTCAAAGATTTAAAAAAATATTATTATTATTTTATACATTCAATCACTACACATCATTTAGATTGTAAAGAGATGTTACCCCACATGATAAACACCTAAGTCCAGATGGTTGAGAATACTATACAAGTTATTATCAACAGGTAATAAACCATATCTGTGTCCCACAAAAAATACCTCTCTATTTTTTATTTACATCTTGATAATCCTGTGTGTATATTGGTGTCACCCAGGAAATCAGCTCCCTAAATTAATTACTCTACCGTTTGTCTATGAAGATATTTTTATATACTATGAAACATTTTGAAATGTTAATATTGTACCAACAGTGAGTAGGTTAATGATCGCTAAAGGCGAAGGATTGGATAGGGTGGACATGGCTGCAAGAGGGCAGAGCTGGCCATCCTTGTGTTGGTGGAACTGTTATGTATTTTTAACTTATCCATACTAGTAACCTGGCATGATATTGTACTGTGGTTTTCTAGGATGGTTCCACTGGGGAGACTGAAGAGTTACTGCTGAGTGAAGCAAGCCAGGCTATGAAGGAGAGACATTGTATGTCCCCACTTAACATATACTGAGTGTCTGCACTCTATGACTGAAACTGATTGACTAAAGGTTGTACAAACACAAGAGATGGGTGTGATTGCCAAATGTGGTGTGTGGGGGGCATAAGGAAGGACATTTGGAGGAGGGATACGGAGGCAGAGCATTGATGGGATGGGGAGGTGTGGTGTTATCAGTTGAAGATATTTTGATCAACTGGACTGGGGAGAAATGTTCACATATTGAAATGTTCACTGTGTAAGCTAAACAATGTGATTGAGTATACACAAAAAATAAAAAAAGAACACATGGATCTCTCTACATTATTTATTAGCAATACATGTTAATCTATAATTTTTCCCCAAATAAGAAGTTTAATCAAAAATAGAAATGAAAAAAACTAAAAAAAAAAGAACATTAAAGAGACAAAATAATGGAAAGATAATCTCTTTGACTTGCTTGACGTGCAATGCATTTGTGTGTTGAGAACCCACATTGTAAGTTGTAAAAATGTACAATAACTAAATGGAAATGACATAAAATTAAAACATGAACTTAAAAAATAAAGGGAACCACATGAACTATCTTTTCCTTTACATTTGGAATTTTGACATGTTTCTGTTTTTTCTTTGGACTGATACTTCCTTTCTGTTTGTTCCATGCCTACAAACTGAGACCTGGAGACATCTTGATGAAGTTTTAGTCAAAGTTTCATTCTTACTCAGTTCATGATTTAACTCTCCTGAGTCCTGTTACTATAATGTAGAATAAGTTTGCTAATAGTGTGTCCTACTGGTGTGGTATCGAGTAAATATTAAATGAAATAAAACATGTAAGTTTCTAACTTTAGTCTACCGTGAGCAAGAAGGTCCACATATATCTCTTGTAATTACCAAATGTTACATAAATGAAACACTAAATGACAATTCTTTTTTCAATTAAAAATATTTTTAAGTTTTCCTTGTGATAGGACACGTGGCCTTGTGGAGAGAGAGGGGGGGGAGAGAGAGAGAGAGAGAGAGAGAGAGAGAGAGAGAGAGAGAGAGAGAGAGAAAATGAATGTGAGAAATCTCTCCCTAGCGGGATGGCCATGCTGCAATTCCTCCACTAGCCTTCTGTCAGGACTTTGGACACACATATATACGTGCCCAGTGTGATGTTCAAGCCAATGGGCTTGGAAATTGAATCATGCATTCAGCCAAGGGGGATCCAGCTCCTTAACCTCCATGCCACCTGCTAAATGGGGACAATTAAATTGTACTCAACAGTTGGTGTAATGTTCTAAAGACCTGTGGTGGCAGGATAGTTCCCAGAGAACATGTACTAAAGACTGGATTCATCACAATTTCATCTTAGTCTCTTAAGAGCAGCGAATCAACAGAAAAATGTTCTTTTCTTTCCAGACCAGTGTCCACAAGGGAAGTCAACTACTAAGTGATTGTTTTTATAAGGAGGAAATGTACCGAATGAGCTGATATAGGAAGCTGTAAATATTTCATCTGTCAATATCCCTAAAGGAGTATAGCCCTGGGCTGGACACAACATGATTGATTTTTGTTGGACTCTCCAGACTGGCTAGGATTCCATGCTTAATTCTTTCATTTTGTCTTGTCTGGGTACAGAGCTTCAGTCTCCATCACCAACCATTCAGGGAGAACTTCACCATTTCACAAGAAGACTGTCCTCTCTGAGAGCCCATACAGGTGAGTCTGAGAGTCAGGTAGGTTCTGCAGGACTGTTCATACAGAATGGATGCCAATGACATCTACCTGAGATCTCCAGAGAGCCAAACCAGCCTAATAGGAGCTGAGATATTAATGTGTTTGGTTACTTGTCTGACCAGCTTAGTCATCATTAATTTATTTAATATGTTAACAAGCCATGTGTCTGTCAGACTTAGCTTGCAGGCTAAGTGGACTATTTAGTGATGAGAGTAGACATCCAGTTGGATGAGGGTGAAGTAGGAATGGGAGAAGTAAAATTATTTCAGTCAACTTAGAACATGTGCACAGAAATTTGCAGTTCATGAAGTAGGAAAAGCAGAATCAGAGTTGTGAT